CTCATAATTATGATTTGGCCCCTTTGTATTATGGGTCCTATATAGAATATATGACTCTATGTCAATAAATGGTTGTATGTATTTTACTGTGTGGTCTCTTATTGTGCCCAAAGAATCCAATATTTTAGCCGTACTTAGTAGTCCGGACTTTTTTTCTTTTGTTTTCAATAGGACTTGGCGATAGGAAGCTCTTTTTGGTTATTTTTCAAAGAAAAAGGGTTTTCCTTCAGACATTTTCCACTATGGAGGGTAAGAGTTCATAAGATAATTATGGGCAAGCGATTAGAAATCAGCTTTGAGTACAAGCGCAATCAAAAGCTGTCTTCCAATTGGTTCCTACTGTTTTGTGTCCTGTTACAAAGTGAGATCTTCTTTGCACATTTTATTAACATATTGGCCTTTATCATCTTGATTGTTCATAGAAATGTCCATAGAAATTCCAAAAGTGCCAACAAAGTGATCACTACAATGTAGACACTGCAGCGTGCCATGGTTGATCCAGACCAGAAATAGGATGCAATGTTCCCATTGTTACACAGGTTGCTGTTGCAGCAGTACAACTTCTGATTGGCATGGAGGGAAATGGAAGCTAATAAACTGTAACACACATCCGTAGAACAGTATCCGTGCAGTATAGTGTTCCCCTGAGGAAAGCCTGGACAAAAACAAGCATGTAAGCATGAGAAGATTATGAATCCATCAAAAGAATTAATGTTTATGTAAAGCTGGCCATACATTATTCAGTTTTTTTGTGATCAGCCAGTGGTGGATTCAAGGTGGATGGGGGAATCCTTCCTGCAGCCAGAATACACTGATAAAGAACACATTTTCCAGCAGTCCCATTTGGGAGGCGTCAACCACTATATTTACTTCTCTTGAATGGGAATGGCTATAGATGGATTGAAATTTGGCCGATCCCTTCTGAACCAGCTACATTTTGATCCCTCTATGGCCAGCTTAAGAGTCTATTCTTTGCCATCATTTTTAAAAGTGCTTTCTAGAAGAGGGGATATTATTGGTGACCTTTGTCAATGACATCATTGTGAACCATGGTACAAGTACCTAAAGTGTACAAGTAAGTGCACTCCTGTGACCCACAAAAGAAAGAGCAATGAGCAATGTTTAGAAATCTGTTTGGCTGTTGTGGATAATGTCACACCAGAGAACCTGTTCAGAAACCCTGAGCAACAACATTCAAAGTTACTGATAGACATAAGCATCTCGCTGTAACTTAATGAAATTAAATGAGAAGTAACATTACCTACTGCATTTACACAAGCAGTGGTGTCCCTAGGTGGATGCAGGCCTTACCGGGTGACACCATCACAGGGGGTGCAGGCGCAGGATGCCAGCAGAGCTTCTGGGCTATGTGAAGGTCCTGGCCAGTTATTTGGCTGATCCCGGATTCCCGACACAGTGACAGCTGCCCCCTGGTGTAGCGGTAAAATGAGTATACCGGACCCATGAAGATATGCATCCCCTGAAGCAACTGCGCATGTGCCGATTTCAGGACGAAGAAGCTGATCACCTTAGCACAGAACTGCCACAGTTAACCCATTACAGGCTGCAAACCTATATAGGTTCAACCTATACAGGGTTAACTGATCTTGCAACCCATAGCGGTCCATGGGATCAGCTTCAGCGGTTTGCAGCCTGTCAGGGGTTAACTGTGGCAGCTCTGTGCTAAAGTCGGAGATTGGCTTCGGCCTGAAACCTGCACATGCGCAGTTGATTTAGGGGATACATATCTTCACTGGTCGGGATACTCATTTTACCGCTACACTGGCACCACTCCTTCCTCTCTGGAGGGGTGGCACCAACCCTAGGGATGCCTCTGTACACAAGGGAACATGTTTCCGGTACATGATGTGATGGCAATTTTCAGCTTTTAGCGCTATCACACTTTGAATGACAATTGCGCGGTCATGCAACACTGTACCCAAATGAATTTTTTACCATTTTTTTGAGATAGATAAAGCTTTATTTTGGTGGTATTTATTCACCACTGGGATCTGTATTTTTTTTGCTATGTAAATGAAATGTCCAAAAAATTTGAAAAAAAGTGTTTTTTTTATACAATTTTGCAAATAAATAATATTTCATCATAAATCTTAGCCAAAATTTATTCCATTATCTTTTTAGTGAAAAAAAAAAAATCCAAATTAGTTTATAAGCAAAAATTATAATTTTTAAACATTTTTTTTTACATTTTTATTTTTTTTTTTATTATTATTTTTTATTTTTATTTTTTTTTTTTACATACTGTCACCCTAGCAGTACAATGTCACCATGGTGACACTGTACTACTTGTGGGGGGTGATGAAGATTTTTTTTTTTTTTTTTTTTACACTGATTGCTTTTACACCCATATAGGATATAAAAGCAATCATTTCTCTTTCTCTCTGTGTGCATTCTTGCACTCATTGAAAAGAACTGAGTGAGCTGTGATTGGTCATAGCTTGTCACATGGTACAAGGCTTTTGTGAATAGCCTTGTACCATGTGACCTCTGTGATCATTCACAGATTTCACACATAGTAAGCAATGATGTCAGAAGTGACATCTTGCTTACTACTTTGCATGTGATCACTGATTGGCCAATCAGTGATCACATGATCGGGACCTCGTACAGAGGTCCCGTCCGACGATCGGTGTTTCACTGTGTCCGGAGGACACAGCGGGCACCGGATCGCGGTGCTGCGCGCTCCCAGGGAGCGCGCACAAGCAGGGTGCGGGGAGGCCGTTTATAGACGGCCACCCGACCCTGCAGTGCCACCGTCCGGCCGTTTATATACAACGGCCGGTCGGGAAGTGGTTAATTGGATCTTTAGTCTACCTTATAAAAATGTAACAACCTCCAGGTTAGCTAGCTAGTTTTTTTTTTAGTTAGAGGCTGAGTAGCAGCTTGGGATGAGTCAGCCTGTGAGTGAGGCAGTGGTTACCTCAGGACAGGCTAAGGAGGTTCTGAAGGTCAGAGCTTTTGGAGCCCTCCCACCTTTCCAGAAACCTAAGAGCTTTGTAGAGGAGGGATGGAAAAGTAGAGAAAGCTCTGATCTGCATGCTTAAAGCACCTTGGCCAATCCCCTGGCAGAAGACTGGGCTTGGTGACCAAGAAAACCCTTAAGAATCATAGAGCCTGGGAGTGTGAGTCAGTGTCAGGTGGAAGATGGAGTGAGAAGCTGGAGTGTGGAGCCTGGGAGGGGGGCCTACCTACAGGCAGGTTCTGGAGAAGGGTATCTCCACTGTAGCACCGTCTACTAGGAGGGACAGCTTGAGCAACAGGGAAGGAGTCAGCCCAGTGGAATGCCTGAAGCAGCCACCAACCCATTAAGCTATCAGGAAGGACAGTGTGAGTTACCTTACACCCCCTGGGCCAGATAAGGGGAGAGGGCAGTCAGGTGGAGGACCCAACTAGCTCCTCAACTGTGACTCTTGAGGTTGGCAGTTTCTGGGTCCCCTTTCCAAGAGAATACCCTCAGTACGACTGGGTGAAGAGGAAGATGCATCTGGGGTCTGAGGAGGTGCACCAGAGAGATGGAGTGCTCTCAGAGAAGAGACAGTCTTTTCTTTTTGTCCATAGACTTGTACATATTTAATAAGGAGTTGTCCTCGCAGTTCACAGTTCCTTCGGCATTCCATCAACCCTATACAAGTTCAATACCCCTAAAACTACATAAACACGCCTAAGGACTGGTTACTGTCTCCAGTGTGCAAGTGTGGAGGAAGAAAATGTGTTTTGCCTGGCTGTGTAGAACTATAGGAGAGGCCAAAACTCTGCAAATCCTAAGGGGTAGTGTTACAAAAACAACCCTTATTCTATAACTTAATTTATTCCCTAAATTAACACTCAACAAGAAGAACATTTTCCAGGGACATTGTGCTGCTGCGGATATACAGGGGTTAGACCAAAAAATGGAAACACTACATGATTTGCAGGTGTGAAAGACATGACATAATTTGCGTTGAAAACAGAAGTGATGTAATGCTCCTTTGCTTCCGCTGTGTGATGAGACACCTAGCTAACAGGTGGGAAGCCTCACTTTAGTAGTTCACTGCGTGTGCTGCTAGTAATACGCAGTCATGTTACAGCTTATGAAGTTGCCAATTTATTTGCCATGTCGTGAGGTTTCTTATTCCGGTCACAATCCTGCGCAATGTCTTTTTGTATCTTTTGGTCAGCCGAACTTATGCTTATCTGACGATGTTTTCCCGGAAACTGTATACACCGGCATAACCTTTGACACTGTACCTCGCAACACGGCAAATAAATTGGCAACTTCAGTCACAGAGGCACCAGCTAAGTGGACACCAACGATTTGCGGTCTTTGAAGCTCAGTATGCTCTGACATGACTCCGTATTACTAGCAGCACACAGTGAATGATGAAAGTGAGGCTTCCCACCTGTTAGCTAGGGGTCTCATCACACAGTGGAAGCAAAAGAATGTTACATCACTTCCGCTTTCAACACAAAACATGTCGGCACTTTTACATCTGCAAATCATGTAGTGTTTCCATTTTTTTGGTCTAACCCCTGTATGTTTTCTAACCAAAAAAATTAAGAGTTTAGTCATATGAATAATATTCACAAATACTCCAAAGGAAGATCATTTGAAATATGTTGAGTCCACATGTGAACTGTAGTGGACCCCAACACTTGTGAAAACCCCAAAATAGACACTTTTTAATATTTGTGTTTCATTAATTATATGTCTTTATTCGATTAATAATAAATATATATAACTCGATGGTTTTATATATGCAGTATTTGCTATAATCGATATGTTCCTCATAAAGTTCACTGCTATATATATATATATATACTGTTTAAACTCTGTAGGTCATATAGCTGCACACAGAGTATGGTTCACCTCTAAGCCGGGATTCCTCCTTAATGTCGGCTCTCACATGAACATGGCCCCACCTGGCATTTTTGAGCACGTACACAAAAGCGGTACACCCATGTGCACGGGTGAGGTGGCCCCGCCCTCAATAGTGTGTGATTTTCTATTCCCCTCTACTCTGCAGGGACTGCAAATGGCTGATCGTAAATCAAAATCAGATACTTGCACTGCTTGCATTTGACAAATACACTTAGAGTGTTACTAAACTCAGGAGCTTGCATTCACTATATCTGGTCTCCCCGGACCCTGCATTCACTATATCTGGTCTCCCCGGACCCTGCATTCACTATATCTGGTCTCCCCGGTCCCTGCATTCACTATATCTGGTCTCCCCGGTCCCTGCATTCACTATATCTGGTCTCCCCGGTCCCTGCATTCACTATATCTGGTCTCCCCGGAACCTGCATTCACTGTATCTGGTCTCCCCGGACCCTGCATTCACTGTATCTGGTCTCCACGGACCCTGCATTCACTGTATCTGGTCTCCCCGGACCCTTGCCTTCACTATATCTGGTCACCCCAGACCCTGCATTCACTATACCTGGTCTCCCCGGACCCTGCATTCACTATATCTGGTCCCCCACAGTACAGCATGGAAATGTAATTATTTCAGCAAATGTAAACTGCTAAATACCTTTTCTGATCAGCAGTATAAAGCAGTCTTGTGACTTCTATCAGTGTCCAGCTGACCACTGGTTACAGCTTGTAGGAGGAGTTTTCATTCTGCTCTGACTGTCCTATGAGGCTGCATGACCTCTGACCATCTTTCTGGACAGCGCTGATTGGCTCTGGGCTGATCACATGAAACCCCCCCCCCCCCCCAAAGGAAAAAACCTGTCTACCAATACACCTGTCTACCGTGTGCAGAGTGACTCCTAGAGCTCTGTACTATCAGCAAATGGATTGGGGACAGTAGAAGGGGAGGATCAGAGAAGTCAGGATCAAACAGCCTTTTTACACAATGTGGAGGATTAAACCCTTGGGTTCCACAGTGAGTATAACAAGCATGCTTTACTGCATATGCAGACTGATTTTAGTGTTGTGGGTTTAGTATCACTTAAATGTTACTTTGTTGCTAAGGGTTCAACTTTGGGGCCAAGCCCTGCTGATCCCCTAGAGTTAAGTTCTTCCCACCAGCCATTACCTGTCCAATGGGAGCACCCTGAGGCACTGTGATTGGATAGACCAAGTATTCTCAAACTGGGTCCACCAGATGTTGCTAGGGGCTCCTTGTACTGTGGCTGGTTGACCGCCCATCTGATGGTATCTCCTTGGTTCCAGGGCCACTTGGCAGAGCCAGCTGCATGAACCCAATGAACTTTTCAGCTGTCTGTTCCACTAACCCCCAATGGATCGATTTTTAACAGGGGTTCCCCACAACCTGAAAATTATTTTAGGGGTTCCATTGGGTTAAAAAAGGTTGAGAAAGGCTGGAATACACAGCAGGTTGGTTAGGCTAAGCCTCGGGTGCAGAGTTTAGCCCTGGAGTTGGGGAAAGTCAAGCGTCATAGAGTGAAAGCAGAATCAGAGGGGCACACACAGACTCCGTGTTACAGGTGTTTTATTATTTACAGTCAACACAATTAACAAATGAACACTTTGGTCCCTTCAGTACTTACTGGAGGACCAGTTGGGAAAATGGTTGATGTTGCAGTAGTCAGTCTCGTAGCAGCTTGCTGTGATATAGATAGAATTATTTCCTCTATCCATGATGGAGGATTGGTTGCAGAGCGGTGCCATAGAGGACCCTTTCATGACTGTATTGCTGCCATCTGGAGATGTTGAGGACAACATATTGCAAATCAGAAGACTGGAAAACATCATTTTGTCCATATGAACCCATCATTTAAACCAGGGGGCCTCCAAACTTTCTAAGCAAAGGGCCAGTTTACTGTCCTTTAGGGGGGCTGGACTGTAGCCAGTGGGTGTAGAAAATGCCCCAGCATCAGTGCCCCATCATTGGTTTTAATAGGAGGAATAGTTCCCCATTGTTTATATCAGTGAGAAGAATAGTGCTCAATTGTTGATATTCAATGTTGATTCATTGTTGATATCAGTGAGAAGTATAATGCCCCATTGATGATGTCAGTAAGGGGGTTGGTGCTCCATCATTGGTGACAGTTGGTGCAATAGTGCCCCAAGGGCCAGATAAAGGCAAGCAAAGGGCCACCTCCGGCCCCAGTTTGGAGACTACTGATTTAAACTGACACATCCTGTGATTCATCAAGTTACATGTCCACATTTCTACACCATCATGTAATTATGTTGAATACAATCTCTTGATCTCATGAATAAAACAATAATTCTGAGCTTCTTGCCAAGGCAGTCCATGTCACATGGTCTCTGGCTACCAATCATTGCTGCAGAGAGTCTACTGTTTTCATTCATCAGCAAGATAAAAGGATCAAAAATGCTGCTGCCATGGACAGTATACAGAGAATTCATCAAAAAACATGCGTAAAAAAAAAAATATAAAACTCCTAAACCAATGCTGCTGCTCTTTGTTGACAAACCATCAAACAAAATATATAAAAATAAAAAAACCGCAAAAAAAAAAAAAATATATATATATATAAATAAAATCACAAAATTTAAATAAAACAATATATAAAATAATTTATAAAGTAATGTCCAAATAAAAATGCAAAAAGTCCCAATCCAAAAAAATAAGATATCTTAAATCCAATGTGTTCCAAATAAATAAATGAAAAAAAGTGCCGTATGCATAAAACTTCAGTGTATTAGCATCATCTGTGATAACCAACCAACCAATACAGAGAATTGCATACTATACATTGAAACAAGGGTGTTAACACATTACCTTGCAGGCATCTGGTTGTTTGCAGTTGAGGGAAAAAACTGCCCCTCTGGGTGATCTGTGTATATTGCAGGGATTGTAATAAACTTTGTTGCAGATTCCTACCTTTTTTAGTCTGAAGAAATATCTGTTTGTGTCAATGTGCAGAGTGAATCTGTATGGGGGTGATTTTATAATTATCAATAAGCTGCTGCACTTGCAGGGCTCTATTGAGGAAAGTGGCAGGGTCTGCATCCCTTAAGACGTGATTTCCCTTTGGGAATATCCCACCAAAAATGACATTTTTGTTGCAGGGGATGCTCAAAATCTGACTTGTATCTTAGTATAGATTTCTGGGAAAATCAGTGAGTCAATCACACAAGCAGAAAATTCTATTTCTGGCTGGGGGCGATCTGTACACCACCTGGGTACAGAACGCCTCAAAGTTACCATATAGAAAATTACAGCAGTGCAGATTGAAAAGGAAAGGAAATGTTTAATGACATTTAATTACAATATGCCTTGTGTAGCAATTATACTATATTATATCTTTTTTTTTTTTTACTTGACATTTTTTCCCCCACAAAAGTGGAGTTACCCTTTCAGGTATAAGTCTTATTTATTTTACTATTCCAGTGTTCTGTCCTCTCAGGGAATAAAGTACCTGTAGCATATGTGGTATTTTTTACTGGTTTCCTAAGTGCTTTGTAGCCTTGCTACAGACAGGACACCATCTTCCCTCCATGGCCATCCAACAGCACAGCTAGCAAGGGGACAAGCTGCTTTGACAGATGCGTATCTCCGGCTCCAACCACTTTCCTTAGAGAAGGAGCTGGAAAGATGCATCGGCATGCAGCGGCACTTGTCTCAGGAAAGTGCTTGGAGGCAGAGCAAGGCACTGGCTGTTAATGAGGCTGTCAGTCAGGAAAGATGCATTCCGGTGCGCAGAACAGTTTGCGACCAATTCGCTGGTGCGCATGTGCAAATGCGTGAATGTGCATGAGGGGGTTCACATGTGTGAATGGGTGCGCAGGAGCGCAAAAAAGTGTGCGAGCATGCACCAGGCGGGTTATTTAACCACTCGCCTACCGGACACTTTTACCCCTTCCTGCCCAGGCCAATTTTCAGTTTTCAGCGCTGTCGCACTTTGAATGACAGTTGCGCGGTCATGCAACATTGTACTCATATGAAGTTTTTATCATTTTTTTGAGACAGAGCTTTCTTTGGTGGTATTTAATCACCTCTGCGTTTTTTATTTTTTGCTAAACAAACCAAAAACAACTTAAAAAATTTTGAAAATTCCTGTATTACCTCTCTGTTGCCAACTTAATCTGCCCCAACCTTGCCTAAACGCTGCCTGCAGGGGCGTATTTACCACAAGGCAAACAAGGCCTAGGGTGGCATTTTTCAGCATTGCCCCCCCGGAAGAAGGGATGGAAGAAGGGACACACGCAGCATGGGGACCAGTTGGGATCTGAAAGAGGCTGCGGGCTGCTTAATGGTGTATGCAGAGCCTGACTCTTGTTCCTGGGGATGTCCAGAGCTGTGAAGATGAGTGTCTTCTCTCTCTCACTGGGGTGGGGGTGGCAGGTGAATGGGTGGCGGTGATAGTAGAAGGCTCTCTCGGGTGGGTCGCATGGGCTGGGGTGTTGTTGGTCCATGTCAGGGGGGTATTGGTTGGTGTCAGGGTCTCTCCGGGGGGGGAGCTGATTTTTGTGTTGCCTAGAACAGCACGAAACCTAAATACACCACTGGCTGCCTGTACTGACCCCTGGCTTGTCTTTGGTTTTCGTCTCTGCCTGCTCCTCTTGCGCATACAGCCATCTGCCTACAATTGCCGACCCTGGCCTGACGTTGACTATTCTTCTGCATGCTGTGTTACACCTTGATCTGCTTTTCAATTGCCAACCAGGACTGCCTGACCCTGCTCTCTGCATCTGAACCAGCTGACTTGTGTCACTTGCCAAGCCGGTCTTCCCTCAGCACATCCTGCTCCACAGCAACGCACATCCTGCTCCACAGCAACGCACAGCCTGCTCCACAGCAAACGCACAGCCTGCTTATTGGTAACGCACAGCCTGCCATTCAGCAAACACAGCCTGCTCCACAGCAAACATGCAGCCTGCTTATCAGCAACGCACAGCCTACTCCACAGCAACACACAGCCTGCTTCACAGCAACGCACAGCCTGCTCATCAGCAAACACAGCCTGCCCACAGCAACGCACTGCCTGCTCATCCTCCAACCTTGTGCAGCTCTCCGGTATCCTGCAAAGGAAGACCAGTCATGCACTCGTTCCCACTCTGTGCTCAGGTGCTCCTGTCACTTTACCAGGACTCCTGAGCCGGAGGTGTAAGAGAAGCCTACCTCTACATGTCAGGCTCCACCACCAGGTACATTCTGCTGTCTCCTTGTTATCTGCATTGTCGGTGAGCCATGGTGGGAGGGAGGCATCCTGTCCTGCCATGTAGCTAAGCTTACAAAGCATGTAGGAAGATGGGGCAAAGTACCTTTATGGCTTCATGTACACGAGCAGCTCCTAAACTCGAGTTTAGGAGCTTTTGGCATTTTTTTGCCAAAGCTCCTAAACTCAACTCCATAAAAGCCTATGTGTCCATGTACACATAAGCTTTTAGCAGAGTTTAGATGCTGCCGTGTTTAGGTGAGGCTTAATCTCCCTCTCCTGAACGCGGCAGAATCACGTTCAGGATAGGAAAGT